AGTCTCTATACTCCAGTTAACGATTAATCAAATACTAAATTTGTCAATACTCGATTATTCCGATGAATTGTTTCAGCCCTAGATAAAATACATGAAATGGGTTAAACAGAGTAACTACAGCCTAGATGTAGAATAGAGTGAAGTTAATGTTCTAAATGCTCAGTGTCAGTTCCAGTTCTCATGTAAATAAAATAAGTTCATTTGGTCTCCCTTGAATCTATTATTTCGCTTTGTTTAATGATACAAAGAGAACATTTAAAAGATAAGAGTGGGTTTTACCTCTGTTTACCTTTGCACAATTAGATATCTTCAAAAGAAAACAACAGGATAAATCCACATAAAACAAACATATTCAGACTATATTTGGTTAAATAGGCACAGATTCACCTATTGTCTTAGTTGCTGGTAATTCAAATGCAACATTTTCAAAGTGGAATATAGTCCTAATTCCACAATCATAAGAGCCGGTGATGCTTCAAACATTGATAAACAGCATCTAGTGTGTGTAGCGCTTATACAATCTGTATTAATGTAGCAAGAATTTTAAATTTAAATGAAATACACCCCGATTTTCACGTCAAGCATGAAGAAACTAGCATGCAGAGCATATTTTTGCATAGGACCAATCCAATCAGACCAATAATGTCCCTACCAAAGTTGAAATCAAACCTACTTGTGTGATTGGATCGATTATCAAGAGGGTGATAGCTTCAATACCACTGAAGCTATCACCTTATAAAAAAATAAATAAAAAAAAATAAATAAAATTAGTAAAACAGAATTTGTAAAGAAAAAAAAAAAGAAATAGATCCAAAGGACCAATCAGTAACCATGTCTGTTCCAGCGCATATCATCATTAGGACATGATCTACAGGGGCACTGGCCCCCGTTGGCCCCTGTCTAGAACCGCCCATGGTTTAACCAGGGAGAAAAGAAAAAACAAAAATGCTAAACAGTATCAAGTTTTAAATTTTTTTAAGCTATAGTTGTTATTTCGAGGGGAAAAGCATATCTACACTGTAATCTAAACAAATTCTAACGGTCTTCCTTTAACAATGACACTATTCATACAGACTTTCCTAACCCCACATTCAGCTGATGGAATGACTGCAGTGACATGAAGGGGTGTGGTGACCATCCAAAGCTCTCTGCATGCTCTCACAATATCTACTTTCTAATTAATAGCGGATTACTCACATTAATTTATCCGGTTTGCTCCCGATGCAATAGCGCTGGCTCCATTAGTTTATTTTTGGTCGAGTGAAGAAAAAAAAAATTACGTTTATCTGACAACAACAGCTGGGTGAGGCGGTGTGGGTGGAGCCAAGAGCTTCCGCGCGCACTGATTGGTCAATCTAGAACTAGACGATCCCAATGACAGTTTAATATCGGAAGAGTGTTACAGATGCTACAGCAGTGTCTTAAAAGTACAATATAATTACAATTAGTTTATTATTCGTATTAGTAACAGGCCGGAACTCTTAAAAATTGCGCTCGTTTCTCGTCGGTAATGGATAAAAGCTAGTCAGTAGTTAATGGGGGTGCATTCAAGAGCAACATCGCTCCGTGGGGTTGTAAGCCAACGATTAAAATTACCTTCAGTCGAAGTTTAATAGAAGGACAATAATTGATACGTATACATCAGTAATTAAATCTACGTGTTTTAAATACTTTATTTGTCATACTTGGAGGCAAATAGAGGATTTGAAAGATTAACGTTGCGAAAGGATTTGCGCTCTTGAATGTTACCCGTTTGCCGCCGCTTCGCTGCCCCCTACGTTGGCTAGCTTTTAAGTTCCTGCTTATTGAGCTGTTGGACCTGACAGATGATGGCTGGGAGGGTTTTAACACGGACTGTAAGCAAGACTCTGCTGGATCTTACAGCCAGCGCTAAAGGGAAAAGAAGCAGGGGAAATATCCGCCTCTTGTGGATTAATGCGAGCCGAGCAGCAGGAGCTCAGAGTGTAAATACCGACGCTTTGTTTTCTATCCGATCAAAATGTAAAGTGATAAAAGTAGATCAAAGGGCAGCGGGGCTATATTGGTTCACTGCACCTGTAACATCTAGTTTAAAGGTTAAAAATGTTCAGAATGCAAGAAAGAAAATGTGTATTTTTTTTCAGGGAACGTGTTAAAATGTAAACAGTTTAACGATATATATATATAAAAAAAATACAGTATTTAATCCGTTCCTTTTTTCGGACCTGTTTTCCTGCACAGAGCGGTAAAGCAGCATTCCTGCTGGGTCTCCCTCTGCTGTCTGGTTTGAGTTATCAGGCTTTCCTCGCAGTGCGGAGTTCAGCCGTGGTGTGTGCTTTAGATAAAGGTAAAGTGACACACATAAAAACCAATGGAAGCGTTTCTAAGCTGACATCATGTGTGGATGTTTTTGACAGCTGAGGTGCTGGAGCAGGCGGACTACCTGTACAGCTGCGCTGAGACAGAGAAGCTTTATCAGCTGCTGCTGCAGCATAAGGACAGGTAAGCTGCTGCCAGACATCCTGATACTCTAAAACACATCACAATAAAATGCAGGGATTCAATTAATTGAGTTTTTTTTTCTGTGTTTCCAAAAATCTTAATCTCTACTTATTAAATAATATAATCATTTAACTTTATTGATCTCACAATGAAGAAATTTAGCTCTGCATTTAGCCCATCCCATTGGGGAGCAGTGTGGGGTTAACCCTCTAGGAGAAGTTACCATTTCTGATCACTTGCATACCCCTTACATCCCTCAGTGAGGTCTAGAAGTATAAGATCTATATCCAGCCATTAAGCCCAAAAAAGATACTGCTACATGGCTGTACATCTTATTTTGGTATTTGATCAATTAGATGAGCCCTTGAATGATATATTACCTACTAGAAATTAAGTCGAATTAAGTTAACAAGTCAAGAAAAAATGTAAAAAGTTAAAAAGTCAAGAAAAAAGGTGAAAAGTTAAAAAAATCAAGAAAAAAAAGGTTAAAGGTTAAAAAGTCAAGAAAAAAGGTAAAAAGTTAATAGAAATGTTAAAAAGTCAAGGGAAAAGAGTAAAATGTTAATTAAAAAGTCAAGGAAAAGGGTAAAAGGCTAATTGAAAAGTTAAAAAGTCAAGAAAAAAGGTGAAAAGTTTAAAAAGTCAAGAAAAAAGGTGAAAAGTTTAAAAAGTCAAGAAAAAAGGTGAAAACTTAAAAAGTCAAGGAAAAAGTAAAAAGTTAAAAAGTCAAGACAAGAAGGTAAAAAGTTAATTGAAATGTTAAAAAGTCAAGGGAAAAGAGTAAAAAGCTAATTGAAAAGTTAGTGAAGAAAAAAGGTAAAAAGTTAATTCAAAAGTCAAGAAAAAAAGGTAAAAAGCTAATTGAAAAGTTTTATAAAGTCAAGAAAAAAGATAACACGCTAATAAAAAAGTAAATAAAAAAGTATCTGAAAAGTTAAAAAGTTAATAAGCCTAGCTAACAGTTATATTTAGGTTTATAAGCTAAAAAATGTAAGTGCCAGTATCAGCTTTGATGCCTCTAAGGTTATGTTGTACAAAAAAAAAAGTGTTTCTTTCACTCTGTTTTTCATGAATTTCTTATATAACCACTTATTTTTATTTTTCTTAAATAAAATTATTGACATTAACATTCATTTTTGCCATCAAAATGTTCCAAAGGTAATAAGGTCTTGTCCTGGATTCCAATGACTCTATTGGCTTGAAATGTTGATTTTCAAAGGATTTCACTGAGTGCTCTATAAAGGGTTAAGGGTCTTGCTCAGGGACCCAGAGTGCAGGCTGTGCAGATCAAATCTTGCAACCTTGTCAGAGCACAACTGCACTGCTAAAACACTAGGCCAGGGGTCACCAATTAAAAATCAGTGGGGACCAAATAAAGAAAATCAACAACCAGTAAAGATCCGGAGACATTTTTAATTATAATATGTTACTTTAAACTGAATTTTACACTAAATAAAAGTAGGTGTTTATGCTTCGATGTTATACATTGACTTTTTAGAGAAAAAATATTGACATTTTTTCCATTTAAAACTATTTTTTTTAAGTAGAGAACAATCGTTCAGTTTCCTGATTCACATATTTTATAAAGCGTTTGTTTTATTTCTCTCTTTTTTCTTGCTCAATGAGATCAGTGGACTTTATGCTGCCCTGCAATGTTTCTAACCTGGGTTTGAATGGAGACAAAGCCATTCTAAAGCACATATCAAGGTGCTCATTTCAGGTTGGGTCCGCTAATCTGTGACCTCTGCAATAGGCCAACACTCCCCCAGCAAAGCAATACACAAAGAAATAAACCTCAATAGTTGCAAACTTGGGTTCTTAGAAAATATGAAAGTTGCACAAGAAAGGCTTATAAAGAACAAAGATATGTATTGCTACACATCTATGAGGAAGGCTGCACATTTGATAGTCACCAAAACCTTACCCAAAAAAGAAGAAGCTAAACGACAAAAGGCCTTTGCTTAAGAACCAAGAGGCCTGTACTAAATATTAAACTGAAGTTTAGTAGAAGAAAAAAGTGTTAATTCTGACTTTTTGAGTTGAAAAAGCTTCCTGGATGGGAAGCGAAACGTCTTCAAAGTCCAGTGGATTGTTTTATAACTTTTTTGGAACGACTATGACCTGGATGACTGGGGATCTTCACCAGCATGTAATAGAAAAAATAAAATCAACCTTTGAAAGGATCGGAAAGCAAAACCGTTGAATCGATGAGATGGATAACATCTGCAGCAAACGCATCAGAACGAATCTATTTTTTATCCCGTAAAGCACACAAAGTTAAAAGTTATTGTGGAGGATTTTTACGGATTTTTTAAAAGACCCGCCCTCTACACGTTAGAAAAGCACAACCCTGTATCCGCTCCCAAGAGGGAACGTCTATTAAATGCGTGGAGGAGCCCATTTCTCCTGGTGCGCTCTATGTTTAAAAGTTGCACTTCTTACAGCTCAAACATGCTTACTGTGTCTGAACGTCCATCCTAACCCCTAAATCCCTCAATCACTATATAGAGCGGGGAGTATATGGTGGAGTTCATAGTGAACTCAGTTAACTGACCGTATGGAGAGATGATCATTACTTTTTGCTCTGTAGTTGCGTAACTCCTCCTTTTATGGAAAGCCATTTGGTCCAATTACTCTTGATTTCTAAATGGCTTTCCATAATATAAGTCGCCACTGTCGGGTAGCAAATGCCACTGTGACAGCAAATCCCATAATGCTTTGCGAGGAGAGTTGTCCAGCAGTTTTTCCCCCTGGCTTCTTGGGCCCTCTTACACCTAACATTCGATCATCAGTAAAAAAACTTGGTGTAATATTTGATGACAGGTGGAAATTTGATCACCAGGTTAGTTCGGTCGTAAAAAATAGCTTTTATCAGTTAAGAATTTTATCAAAAGTGAAAGGGTACCTGCCACAAAAAGATCTGGAGACCGTAATCTATGCTTTATCAATACAATATTGGATTACTGCAACTTTTTATATGCTGGCTTGGACCGCTCAATTTTACACCGTCTGCAGTTGGTACAAAATGCAGCTGCCCGTCTCCTTACAGGCACACGTAAACGTGACCACATATCACCTGTTTTAGCCTCACTGCACTGGCTCCCGGTTGTTTTTAGGATAGATTTTAAGATTCATGCCCCTGCCAGATCACTGAGATCCTCTAATTAGCTGCTACTCGCGATGCCTAAAACCAGACTTAAAACTAAAGCTGATCGTGCCTTTATGGCAGCGGCACTGAGGCTCTGGAATAACTTGCCTTAGCATATTAGATCAGCAGGCTCCTTTGAGGTTTTTAAAGCCTCTTTAAAATCACATTTCTTGTCCCTGGCTTTTAATCATGTCTAAGTGGACATTTGGCAAAGTTTTATTTTAAATTTTATTTTATTCTAAAATGTATTTTAATTGAAACATTTATCTTATTCTATTTTTATGTGTTTATGTATTTTAGCCTTAGCTTTTATCTTATGTTCCTTAACTGTGATTCCTCTACAGCACTTTGGTCAACCCCGGTTGTTTTAAATGTGCTTTATAAATAAAGCTTAAAGGAATAGTACACCCAAAACATGATTAGCCTTCATTTTCTACTCACCCCCATGCTGAACAACACTCTGGAGTACTTTTTTGATATCTCAAATGCATCTGGAGATCTGGGAGGCTTCTTGCTGTCTGCTGACATTCAAATAATGGAGGTCTATGGTGCCCGAGACAGAAAGGTCCATAAAAGTCCACAAAAAACGTGTCAATATTCCTCCATACTGCTCGTCCAATGTATTCCAAGTGTCCTGAGTGGGTAGCATCCAGAATTTACTCGAAACGAAGTCATTTAGAATGTTTTTAGAGCATAAACAGTAGTGTATAGGATTTCCTGAAAGCGCGCACATGCGCGTTCATGACGCTACGGAAGCCGGCAGACCAAACCAGATGAAAGTGCGCATTCAGCGTCTGCTCTGCCAATAATGCAAGCGTAGAAGAAGAAATGTGCTGTTTACCTGTGCAAAGAAAGAAACAACGAAAGAAAAATGTCTGAGGACTTCAGTGTTGAGGAAGAGCATGAGTTCTTTGCCGAGCTGAATGCGCTGGTTTGGTCTGCCGGCTTCCGTAGACTCGTGAACGCGCAGGTGCGCGCTTTCAGGAAATCCTATACACTACTGTTTATGCTCTAAAAACATTCTAAATGACTTCGTTTTGAGTAAATTCTGGATGCTACCCACTCAGGACACTTGGAATACATTGGACGAGCAGTATGGAGGAATATTGAAACGTTTTTTGTGGACTTTTATGGACCTTTCTGCCTCGGGCCCCATAGACCTCCATTATTTGAATGTCAGCAGACAGCAAGAAGCCTCCCAGATCTCCAGATGCATTTGAGATATCAAAAAAGTACTCCAGAGTGTTGTTCAGCATGGGGGTGAGTAGAAAATGAAGGCTAATCATGTTTTGGGTGTACTATTCCTTTAAGATGAGTTGAGTTGAGAGTTCTTCGTGCAAATCATTCTGCGATACATCTGCCTCTTCTGAGGCCTTTCTTTTCATACAATTCGTAGACACTTTTTCTCTTACAACCCTCGGCCATTTTCAAAGAACCGCGGTGAGAAAGGTGAGCTTTGCCTGTCTGAAACCACAGATATACGCCTGAAAGTGTGCATGCACAGAAAAATATACTGTAGCTACCTAGGGTTGAGTAAATGTATCACCAGATGATTGACAATCAGGAGGACCACTTATTGAGATGATCCACCCGGAAATAAAAGTTGTCCTCTATATCTTTAAGAAATTTCTCCACAAATACAGTTAGATTGGATTAAAAAATTCATTACCAGGGGGCATGATGGGAATGCCTCATGGGTGAAACCAAAGTTGTGATTTTTGTGTCTTTAAGCGGTTTGTCGGTGTAAGCTAATATAGGTTGTGTGCTTCCACCCAGTGAGGATGCGGAGTTCCTGTGGAGGTTAGCCCGGGCGTCTCGGGATCTCTCCCTGCTGCCTGACACGGACGCCGGGAGGAAAAAGCAGCTGACGTTTGAAGCCTTTGAATATGCAAAGCGGGCGTTGGAGAGAGATGAAAAATGTTTTGCTGCACACAAAGTAAGCTGGGTTTTTCACCCTACAGGCACCAATGTCACAATGAACCCTGATATAAGTGCGTATTTTAGTCAGTTATTAAACAGAACTTATTCTTTTCCTCCCTTTCTTCTAACAAAGTGGTATGCTGTTTGCCTCAGCGACATCGGGGAGTATGAGGGAGTGAAGGTTAAAATAGGAAATTCATACATCATCAGGGAACATCTGGAGGTGAGAGAAACATCTGAGTCAGGATCTTGTAACAAACTGGATGTATTGAATCATTTCCCTCTCCTTCCCCCAGAGGGCCATTCAGCTCAACCCCAAAGACGCCACATCCTTACACATTCTAGGTTACTGGTGAGTGGCGCTGTTCTTCTCTTGCATCATTGAACCTTTGCCTCATTCTTCTTTTTAACATCTATTTGACGTTGGCAGCCCTCTCTAGCTCAGCTCTGGACTTTGTTTTGTTTATTTGTTCTCTTTTTTGCTTTTTCTGTAGTCAAACTTCAACAGTTGAGCTCATTATTTTGGATGATTGTCTAAGTTTGTAAAAGGTGCTTAGATCATGAATGCAAAACAAGCCAAGGTTGTCGACCTTTCAGCTATGCTGAGAAGCTGTTTTTGTTTTACCCCAGTCTACGCTTGGGTTCCAGCTTTTTTTTTTTTTGCATGTCTTCTGTCACCTATGACTATGGAAGAGGATTAGGGCCATTGAAAAAAAAAAAAAGTTAACTGATTTTTAAATTTTGTTTCAGTTTAGTATGG